TCTGTTAAGATTGCTGCATGTTTAGGCAAATGTGATACGGGTACTGGACAGTGAGAGGTTGGATACTAGCTCGCATTTGACCATTGGTTTTCACTCTGGTTATAGGTTTCGCTAAAGCTCAATCGTACAAAACTAAATTTAGTGAAAAATTGGATGGGAGGAAAAAATGCTCTTTTGCCTTCTTTGCACTGTAGAGCAGATTTTTAAAGTATATGAAACATACCTAGTCTGCCTAGATGCATAAACGCTAGTGGGGATCCTAACAGTCATTTGCAGATTAGACTACTGCCTGCTTACAAATGCAGTTTGTTTACTAGGAGTAACATGGTTTTAAACAGAATCCCCTTCTACTTCTGTATTACAGTTTGTTTCTGTGAGCAGAGTTCAGTAACGTGTAGAAAAAGGGACTAATGGTAGTCTTAGGATTGTACTTTTGTGTTTATTATCATCAGGCTTTGTAATTACAACTTACAGTCACGTAGCCGAAAGCTGCAGTTTTTCATTGCTTACTTGCTGATTAAAGAAATTGCGGAGGGCGTGTAAGTCCATTTGCTTTCCTTCTCTTGTGTTTTTTTTCAGCTCATATCCTTCTTTTTAACTAGAAGAGAGAAATGGGTCTTTGTTACTCTTTTTCTTTATAAACCACTGAATAGCACTTCTTTGGCTGATAGCTGAGATTCTGTACTCACTGGTCTGTTCCTGGCTGTGAAGGAGCAGAGAACCTTCTGAGGGATATGTTCTTGTCAGCACCATCTTACTGACTGGCATTTTCACCACTGTTGTTGGAGAGAAGTGAAGAAGAATATAGCCTAATCCACAACTCTGAGATGCTTGGCACAGGTTATGGTGCCATTTTGTATATGTGAGTGGCAGGCTGTTTGCTGCGCTCTGGAGAATATCACCTGTTGAATATACCAGTTCTGGTTGAGGGAGGCAGAGAACTGAAGGAGGCACTTCGGGGACACGTTGTTTCCTGGGAAGGTCTCTTTCAGCTTTAAAAGGAGTAAACTTCTACGATTATGGCCAGGTCTCTAGCTCTTAGGGGGATGCTGTGTGTTGTCAAGTATGCACCAATTTGAGGGGGGTTTGCCACCTCCTCTCACTCATCTTCACCTTTCTTGCTTGTAGCAGTGAGCTCCAGCAATGCCTGTTGAATCAGGAAAGAGAGAAGCTAAGATGAACTGAATGGCTGCTGTTCTTGCTGTGCCCTGAAGGGCTTGCTGAGCAGAGGAATTTTTCCTCTTGCATTGAAGGAGATTATCAAGTAGTGTCTTCCCTTTCTCTCTTCTCCCTTCCCCCAGCCAGCTGGATGGTCATTCTGGTGCTGCTACAGTACTGAGCATTTCCCTCGCAGCTGGAAAAATGCTGTGTCATTGGCAGGAACAGAAGCACCGTTCTTCTCGCAGGGGGTCTCCCACACAGGAATTGTGTAGAATTCCAAGACATAGGGACGAGTATATTCCTTTGTAATTTGTACAGTAGGCTAACAGCTTCATATGAAACAGCAATGCCTAGATGTGATGGATCAATTCAAATTTTTAACAAAAGAATGTTTTGCATTCTAAATTTTCCTCTTCCTAAATGGATCTAAGCATTGAAAATCAAAGAAAACAATGATGTCACTCTTCACTGACCTACATTAAAAGAGCAAAGGATGCAAATGAAATTCAAAGAAGAAAGTCCAAACATCATGTTCTGTGCCTTTGAGCTCTTCAAGTTTTTTTTCCCACATCTTGTAAAGGAGACATAGTTTGCCACTTTCTCTTTATTAAAGGCCAGTTGTGTTTTTACCAGCGTGTTATAAAACGTGCATGCTAAGGGAGTTCTTGTTCAGAAAACAGCCTTTCTGGATCCACAAAAAGGAATCGGAAGGTGGGAGGTGATAGCTGAGTCAATATGTTTATGTACCATTTGTCTTTCCTAGAGAGTGTGACAAACTGATTCTGTCCACATTTTTATTAGCTGAATTATGCTGTTAAACCAAATTTTCAAATCACGTGTTTTAAAGGGCTGTTATAAAAACCGTGTTTTCTTGAAGATGGATGGTGTTGAACTAATATTGTAACAATAATCTTAATAATTTATCAATGCACATCTATTCATGTGAATATTTTCAGTGTTGTTTTCAGCAGAGCAAAAGTTGGCGGGGGGGGATATGCAGAAATTGAATGGTCTTCTGAACTTCACATGGTAAGAGGAAAAAAAGAAACTTCTAAACTGTGAAATTTTCAACCTCGGGAAAGGATTTGCCTCTCCACACAAGTGATTCCATCACAAGAATATTAACATTTTTAGTTCGAGATAATACCCTTCAAGCTTGAAAGCTGTATGTAAATAAAATGTAGGAGGAACTGTAGTTTAAGCTTAACTCGGAAGATGTGTAAACCTTTAATTCAATTTCCCCTTCTCTACTCAAGGCTAGTAATACACATGCGAATCTGTGCTCGACTGAAGCATGACTGATTTCTGCTCTGCGAATGAGGCGGCGAGAGAAGTGTAAGCTCAAGCTGCCTGTAAAACTGAGCTCCCTCTTTAAATTAATTTGATACAGCATTTTACAAGATTAGCTGTCGTGATTCTTTAACGTTATGTGGTCTGAACCTAAGGATTACTTCAGTCTCTGCTTCTTTCTTCTCTCTTCAATTTGTCAAATTCCAAATCAATGAAAATTTTCCATGAGTCTCCTGACTTTATAAGTGCATGGAACTGGAAGCATCTCTCATCTGGGTGGGTGAATGCGTCTCGCCCAAACTTAGGTGCCTGTATTTAATCTGATGGTCTAGACTCCTGTAACAGACTGTGGAGTCAGTTGTGTTCAGAGTGTAATACCATTGGCAAAAAGCAGGTGATTGCTTTAAAACGAGATGGATTGCAACTGACTACTGTTTTCTGCAGTTCAAGGCTAGGGTGACTTGCCTTGCTTTTCTTAATCATCTTAATGACCCTTTTAGAAGGAGCATGTGGATCTTTACGAGTCTGTGGATCAGACGCTGCAGGTAACTGGAGTAGACTACAGAAGCCAAGCTGTTCTGATGTCATGTAAGTTCTCAGTTCCCCTGATGAAACTAGTAACTGCCATTTCCACCTGCTCCAGTCTGAGTTTTTCTTGAGGCTGGGTGACCAAGGTTGAACATAATATTGCAGGCAAAGTCACACCATCCTGAGACATAATTTACTCTTTGTTTTGTTTTTTTGTTTTTTGTTTTTTTTTTTTTTATCGCACTAGTGATTCATAATGTCCTGTGATTGACTCATGTATCTATATGGATCATCATCCATTTTAGTAATTTCCAAGCTGATGAATCCTGCGCTTACAGGAAAAGTCTTTATTATTGGTCACTGTTATGAAGACTTTGCCTCTGCTTCTATTTGGTTTCACTCTATTTCTACTGTTCGAGCTTTCAAAAAAAAAAAATTGTATGTGATAGTGTAATACCCCTCTCTGTCGGTGAGGCATTTTAGCTTCTTGCCATCAGCAAATTTCCCTGGCACTTGTGCTTCCTTCTTTTTAATATCAAAGTCACTGGTAAAAATGGTAAACAAGCTTTCAAGACACGCAATTTCTAAATAAGTTTTATGGAACCATTTGGATCAAAGGAGTGCGGAACTATGGTAGTGGGAGAACATTTTCATCAAGGGAAGTTACTTTGAATTTTAAGTTTACCTTCTTTGTTTACGGAACATTTAATACTCCTTGAATTCTGAGTCTGAAGAACTCTCCTTTCATTCCCAGGGAGGAAGCATTTGTATCTGCCATTTCCTGCTCAAAAGTTAAAAGCTGATGTTCTAATCAAGCTGCCTCAGCCATCAGGGGTCAGCTGTACAGGACAGAGGGGAAGCTAGGGCTCTGCTTTGACCCAAGAAATCAGGTGTCATCTTCCAGTGTTAACGTCATCGCTAAGGTGTGTGCGATAGAGCCACACACTGGTTTATTTCTTACCATGTACAGATAAGATAACCTGCGTTGCAGGTGGCCTGGCTCTGACTGCTGTGTGTTGCAGTCCTGTGTCTGTGGAGAGCAAGTTCGCTGAAATGTCACCGTGTCCAATAAGCGCACAGTTCTGTAGCGTACTCTGGAGTCTGAGGACTCCAAGCTTCCATTATACAGGCAGGACTGATGCATTTCACATTTTTGTTTGTTGTTGCTTACATCTGCTTGTGCTTCAAGGCTTGTTTCATTTTGTTTTAAGCTGTACTGAGAAGTTTGAAAGCATTTCAGTTCTTCTGGATTTTTTTTTTTTTGTCTGTTGCACTGACCAGGCTTCCAATATGTTCAGTCTGTTTGGAATAGAATGATGCTGAACTGGAAACAGTAGTAGCATGTTGAGCTAACAGGAGGTTTACGCTTTGTTAAAAATTTTATTTTTCCTTTTGTGCCTGCTTTGATACTACAAACCACAGTATGGTCCTAGTGTAAGGATAAATAAGCTGAAGTTTGAGGTTCATCACAGGAGAGTTTGCTTCTGATAGATACACTTTGTCATGTTTTGGGTGGTGGTGGTGTAGTTCATGCATGGTTTGATTCCTTCCTAATTCTGTATAGTACCACAATAGGCAGTTAACTTCATGCCAAGAACAGAACTTTGGGAAAGATGAAGTTATTTTTGGCAATATAAAAAAAAATCATGTCAGCTGAGAGTTGTGCTGTGAAATAAATGTTGGTTTTGCAAATAAAAGTGCTATTGCCAAGACTTCAGGATTTATTTTTTTTTTAATCTTGTAAAGTACATGCTCCAATAAACTTTCAGAAATTCATATTTGTGGTCAAGTTGCATCATCATTTCTTCCTGGTTTCAATTGTGAGCAACATTGAAAGCAAAAGTTTCTGAAATTGTGTAAGAGCAACAATTTTCTTCAGCACGAACTTTTCAGTATGATTAGTTCAAAAGAGTGGATTTCTGTGATCAAGGGACTCCCCCAGCTACAGGTGATTTGTATTGTTTTCCAACATGAGTAATAAAACATTTTTTTTCTCTCATTGTCTTCCTCTGTTCAGATCCAGCTGTGGGATACGGCAGGCCAGGAGCGCTTCAGAAAGAGCATGGTGCAGCACTACTACAGGAACGTTCATGCCGTCGTGTTTGTATACGACATGACAAACATTGCCAGTTTTCACAGCCTGCCCTCATGGATAGAGGAATGCAAACAACACCTTCTTGCCAACGATATACCACGGATTCTTGTTGGAAATAAGTGTGACCTGAGAAGTGCTATTCAGGTACCTACGGACTTGGCCCAGAAGTTCGCTGATACTCACAGTATGCCATTATTTGAAACCTCTGCCAAAAACCCCAATGACAATGACCATGTGGAGGCCATATTTATGACACTGGCTCACAAGCTTAAAAGTCACAAGCCATTAATGCTTAGTCAGCCCCCAGATCGCGATGAAATACATATAAAGCCCGAACCAAAACCTGCCATGACCTGCTGGTGTTAAATCGTGCAATGATCAGCTATCACCTTGTCTTGTTTGCAAATGCTTCAAAATTATGATCTTGTTAAAGTTCCAGGTTCTGGTAGGAATTATAGTGAATCTCTTTGGCACTTTAATGTGTTGGGTTTGGATTTTTTTCTGGTATAGATGTGCCCATCTCATGTTCATGCACTTTGTAATTGTACTTTCTGAATTACTGAAGTTTCGCTGTAAGGGGAAAGTGAACTTTCAAGTGAAGTTTTGACAAAGCAATTCTACTTGAGCTCTTGCTGCCTGAGATTGTTTCCATCACTTGTGGTGAGGTTATAAATAACAAGCCAGTTTACTAACATTTCCGGTTGCAATTTGCATTGGAATAATGTAGGAGAAGTGTTTTGTGACAGCCAGATAGCTTGATTTTTTTTGGGTCGACCCGTGGGGAGATTTTTGGCATATGAAGGAATATTTGGTGACTGCTAGCAAATTGCTAAGCAAGTACCTTTTTGTAGTTTAAAAGCAAAAACCAGGACTGTCAGATAAAGTTTGGGCTGTCAGTGTAGGTGCATTCTGCTAGCTTTTTGCCTGTCATTCCACTGTAAACTTTGTTTCCTCATGGCAATGGTAAGAGAATTGACGAACTTGTCCCTACCTCTGGACAATTATGTGATACTTAAAACTTCATTAATTTTTCATAATTATCATGTAAAATTAAACTATGCATTCCTTCTTACGGAAAGTACTGTAGCACAGGATTTGGGGTAAATTTGGGGCTACTAACAGTCCATAAGTTCTCTGACCTTACTAAAACTTCTGTGAGGACTTACTTCTAAAGATGCTGTATTTGAGTTGAGTGTCCCAGGGTAAGTAAAAACACTTAAGTAAATAAAAGATTGCGTGAAGCTGGCAAAAACATGCTGGTTTTCAAAGGTTGGGGTTTTAGAGGATTTTAGTGACGATGAATACTTTTCAGATATCTTGAAAAAACTTTTAACAACCAACTTGGTCATGTATATAGGGATGGAAATGCTTAGGAATGTGGGACTTTCTTAAAATACTTCTGAATACAAAATAAATTAGATCTTGAATTATGGAGAAAATCTGCCAAATACATCATCTGTATTTTTGAGCTAAAACCTGCCTGTGTAATGTCATGGCTGGATGTGGGGCATCCTTGGCATTACTAGTGTCAGCTAGTAACGTGCTGTGTCAGATGAGGGAAATTACTGCTCTAGAACCGTCATCTTCTGTGTTCTCATAATTGCAACCGTTTTATTTCAGTTCTGTCTGAAGGTCAGGTTTCATAATAAAAATGGTGCTAGGTTGCACATCACCACACAAAGCGAAATGTAAGCCATAGAATGCAATCTATGACTTCATTCATATGCCACATCGAACAATGTTTTGTGACTTAGTTTTTAAAGATATTGAAGTAAAAATGAAGATTTTTGATTTGCAGGGTGGTAGCGTGTGATGCTGACTGGAAACTAAACAAAAGGGCCAGTTCAGAAGCTGCCACCCTAGTGATCCCATTAGAAACAAGTCACTGAAACGAGATAACTGTTATTTAAACTGTTACAATTAATAAGATGTAATCCTGTTGCAAGTTATAATGAGAGAAGAAAAATGACTTTTTTCTAGATTTAGAAAGAGGGTTCAATTTGGTCTAATATGATTAAGATGTTTAAAAAGAATCTAAACAAAAGGTAATACTTTTTTCCTGTATAAAGCTGCTACAACTGTGACAGTAATTTTGTTTAGGAAACATTTGTAAAAGGGAACTTTTGTATTCACTCTGAACCTTACATGACTAAAATTTGGTTTACAGTCCTTTCAGAAACAATCAGCTTTTTAACACTAGTGTCCTTAATGACTTTTTTTTTTTAAGAAAAGGATTGATCTTAAATTTATGTGTATACTATTGTAAATAAATATGGTTTACAGTCCTCTTGGACAACTTGTTTTTCACTCATGTCCTTAATCCTTTTTCTCAGAAGGATCCATCTTAACTATTTGTGTAATAAGTATGTCAGCAAATGTGTTTGGGGTTTTGTTTTGTTTCTTTGGATTTGTTGGTTTTGTTTTGTCTTTTAAATAAAAGAATCAGAATGAAGAATTCCAAAGTCAGTGGAGTTGGGGGTTGGGGTAAGGCAATTATGTAGCTACAGTGTTACTGTTAAATTTGATATCAGACACCTGCAAATCTGTTAAGCTTTGAGTTGTTCACAACCTGTAAATAAGGGCCCTCATGTCATTAAAGTTGTGTGGAACTAATGTTTAACTTTGTGATTTCGTCTTCAGCACAAAGCATGTTTTAATGGTTCTGCCATAAAGGTAATGTGGTCATTAATGCAGGATTCATTATGCTTCCTGGCTTTCAGTGGTAATGTTCTGCCCACTAAATTGGTGTCAAAAGTACTGAACACTTTGTATGTGTATTTTCACTTTACCCAATTGTAAAGGTGGGTTATTTTGTATGTGCTGGGGGGAGGGCAAGACACGATCCCAGAAACCTAATAAACTGGCTTTGCCACAAACTGTTCTCACTTGTTTTCCGTAATTATACTAGGAATGATGATAGAGGGCTTTTTTACCATGAGAAATTTCAAGGGAGAAAAAGAGTTTCTACTTTCTGTATATGTGGGTCACAGTTTTGTGAAAGACTGTCACAATACTTGGACTACTGTCAGTGCTTCCTTGTGATGGCTCCGAGTTGTTTTGAATCATCCGAAGCACTCACCTGATGATGCAGAGGCACATTTGGGATTTATTTCAGCTTCCAGAAGAATAGGAAGTGATACAACAGTTACAAAACTGGGAATTGCTGACCCCTGAATGTGTGTCAACGCCTAGAGGGGTCTTCTCCTTTCCTCTTCGTTATCTCAAAAGTCAGTCTTGCAGGTTTCCATGTGTGTATGTACACGCGTGGGGCAAGGCTTCAGCTCCAATTAAGCTGACTTTTTGGTACCTACCGTAGCCCTTTCCCCATGAATGAACTCTCAAATCATTTGCATTATGTGCTGTTTCACTACTGTCCCATTTATGCTCCTATTCTAGTTCTACACTCACAGTGTATTAAAGGCAAAAAGGTAAAACACCTTTTAGAGATTATTTGCGTCTTTAACTGTGATTGCACCCAGGCTGAACGATTAGATCTGTCTGTTGACTGTGTGTACAACTGTGATTGCACCCAGGCTGAACGATTAGAAGATCTGTCTGTTGACTGTGTGTAGCTTGTGCCTTTGACCCTGGGAATGACCAGGAGGGACCATTGTGAGCCCTTGTCCATGATTGACACTAGCTACTTCATCAAACAGCTTAGGGAGCGAGCGACTTTCAACTTTAGAAGAGGCTGACGTACAAACTGTAGGTGTGTCCTAGTATTCATGTGTGTGCTTGCTGTGTATTAGGGTTTTCGGGGGGGGCAGGTGTGGGGGGTGTGTGTCTCAGGTGTTAACATGACGCTATAGCAAAGAAGCATCGAAATACATGGGGTTTTTCTGTGTGCTGTAACCTCCCCAAAGCAAAAAAACTGTTCCTATAAGGGGTCTGAAGTACATAGTCATTAAAGAGTTTGAAAGATGAAATAGCCCCACCCTTGTCATTTTTTCCAGCTTTATAAACCAATAATTTTAAAAGACAGATTTCTGGATGTAGGGAGTATAGATGAGGGTGCCTAATGAAAGTAATATCTTTCACTTCAATCTTTTTTTCATCTCTGAAATATGGCTTAATGATCTAAAAATTAATTAAGCTCTGACTTTGGTGGAAGGGAGTAATGTGGCAGTCCGTACAAGAATGAAGGTAGAGGCAGACCTGCCTCCTACTCCCTCTTTGACCTTTACCACCTTCCTCTGTGACTCACGGGGGCTTTCCCGCGTGGAATCTGCAAAACTGCACAGCAGAAAAAATGCCATTAACTGTTTTCCTCCAGACACCACAGCTTTGCATAAAGAAAAAAACGATCAGTGTAATGCTTGACTTTGATCAGTCTTGGACCAAAACCTGCTGGTTTTGTCTCCCATAACATTGGTTCATGTGCCGGGAAGGTCAGTGCCTCTAATTTGCAGCTGGTCGTAGACTCTTGTTACCTCATTCATCCCGTGTGGTGCAGCACAATTGTCATTTTTAAATTGTAACCCTGCACTCACATTTCCCTGACTGATCATCTACGAACTTACTACTTTTATAAATGTGTTGGAAGTCATATTCCATGTCCCGTCTCAGGGAATATTTTCACTTCCACCTGAATATATAGTTCTAATGGTCGTCTTTTTTACAGAGTCCTGCTTTCAAGGCCATTGACCAATGCTTCATAACATCTCGATTCCCAGATAAAAAGTAGAGCCACATGTTATTTTAAAGTAATAGTAATGTTACTTTTAAAATGTCAGTCTGCTTTTCTATGCAAATGAACACAAAACCGACATGTAATCTTAAATCTAAAGTTGTGGATGACATTAGAAATTGGCGTTATTCTAGGACTCACAAAAAAGTGCACCGTTTTTAGTTTGAGGTGGGTTTTTTCTCCCCTTTTGTTGACACTGAACACCCAAAGGAGACCTCTCGTTCATCCAGCTGAATGGCATCGTCAGCCAGGGCTGTGAAGCGACATTGAGAGGGAAAGAATTGCTGCTGGTTTCCAGTGACGTCCTGGGACTGGCTGGGCTCTGTACAGCCTCCCAGCTGCAAAACCAGCGTCGGAGAGGCTGACACCTATTGAAGTACTTGCTGAAGGCAGCTCCTTGTAGTTCAGGAGGATCTTTCCAGAGCCCAAAGGCAGGCATGTAAAAGCTGCTATCCATCCAGGGACACTCACTGAGGTGCATAATCCTGCTCCATGCAGGTATTACCTGTTTTCTGCCTTTGCTGAATCACCTCCAGTTAATGTGAATCTTAAATGACAGAATAATATTTAACTAATCATTCAAAAATGAATGAAAAGCAGATTTCCCAGCAATACCACCGATCATTTCAAGAAAACAAATCCTCTCCCTTTCCTGTTCATCTCACCCCTGAAAACCAACCTAGCGTTGATGTAATGTTACTGAGGCCTGGCGACTGAGGTACAGTGGTGATCGCTGACCAGAGTCAGGGCTTGTAGCTGCATCTAAGAGCCAGAATGTCAGCGAGCGTCTCAGGGCAAGCAGGCTGAGCAGTGCGCGGGCTGTCTGACTGTATCCTAGTACCGGCAGCAGCGGTCC